TCAATGATCTCTTCGTGAAGGTGAGTGTGGAGCAGGGCCAGGTTATAAGAACTAACTGTTCGTGGATGGGGCTAGAATTAAGTGGAGCCCAGAACCCATCTGCTTGTCCCCAGGTTACGAATGACTCTGGATTACTTAGGTGGTCATATTGTTACAAAAGCATAAACCGTCAACAACAATAACAACAAAACAAAATCAAAAGACAGGAAAACAAACACCCAAAGAAACAAAAACAAAATGAATGCATTACAGCATTACAATCATTTCCTTGGGGTACAAGGGGATTGCACTGATAATATCAATAATTTATCTAATGCCATAGAATTGTAAATACTGTTGTTATGAGGAGTCTAGGCGAATATAGTCCAACTGTGAGCTGCAAACCATGAGTTGTTAACAGCTTTGCACAGATTGATTTTCTAATCAATTGAGCTCTGTCTACACTGAGCATGGTGCTAGGGGACATTTTTCCTGTATAATTTCTTACAAGGGCTGAGCCTTGCTTATCAGATTAAAACCTGTCATATTAATGCCAAGGGGACATTGAGATACTAAATGTATGGTGGTTCTGGGTTCTCTTTCATTTGACATCCACTAAGCCAGGGACCCCACCCAAGGTGCAATGACCATCATTTCCACAGTCTTGGGGTGGTCATCTCTTGCTTCCTCTCCCATCAGAATATTTCAGTCCTAAATCCCAGAGTACAGGTAGTTTTGAGGTGGGGCCCATTTCATTCCGTTGGGTTTCCACATTGTGTCCTTCTGGTGGGCCCCAGTTTCCTTGCTTTTCTATTATTTTCTACCTTCTGTACTTTATTATTTCCTTCCTTCTTTTTGCCTTGGGTTTAGGGTCTTCTTGTACTAGAATCTTAGGGTAGAAGGTTAGTTTATTGATTTGAGATATTTCACCTTTGTTGATGTAGGTTTGTGCAGCTATAAATTTCCTTTTAAGCACTCCTTTAGCTGCATCTCATAAGTTTTGATATGTGTGTTTTTATTTTCATTCATCCCAAAGTATTTTCTTGGAATTTCTTCTTTGACCTATTGGTTATTTAAAGAAGTGCTGTTTAATCCCTTCATATTTGTGAATGTCTCAACTTCATGATTATTACTGATTTCTAATTTAATTTGATTGTGATCAGAAAACATCATTTGTGCTTCTTTTTCTGATCTTTCAAAGTATAGACTCAAGCTATTGATTTGACATCGTTCTTCTTTGGCACTATATGCATTTACAGCTCTAAACCCCCCTCTGAGCACTGCCTTTATTGCTTCCATTAGCTTTAGTATGTTGTCTTTTCATTTTCAGTCATCTATAAATATTTTTAAATTTCCTTTGCCATTTCTTCTTTATCTTCTTTTATGGTGTGTTGGTTGGTTTTCATATATGTGTAAAATATGTGTGCTTGAAAATAATCAATATTTTGCTGCTGTTTGGTAGTGTCATTAACATTTCTGCTAGGTCTAGTCGGTTTATAGTGTTATTCAAATGTTCTCTTTCCTTGTTGAGCCTAAGTGTTCTACCCATTATTGAATGTGGGGTACTGAAATATCTCAGTATTGTTGGTGAATTACCTATTTCTTTCTTCAATATGGTCCTTTTTTGGTTCATGCATTTCAGTCCTCTATTGTTAGGTGTCACTACTGTGTTTTTATGTCCCCTCCAATCTTTAGTGAAAGGCAACACTCACTGTGTTGCTGAATTGGATTTTGAAAGGTCTTTTGAACTTTTGTTTCCAACATATTAACTACCATGTTAAACTATACACACTCCAAGCTCACTGTCATCAAGTCTATTCTGAGGCATGTTGACCCTATAGGACACGGTAAAACTGCCTCTCTGGGTTTCCGAGACTGTAACTCTTTTGGGGAATAGAAAGCCTCATCTTTCTCCATCAGAGCGGCTGGTGGTTTCTAACTGCTGACCTTGCAGTTGGCAACTTAATGCATAACCTGCTGCACCACCCAGGATGTTAAACTATAGGTAATGTTTAAAAACATGGGTTTTGAAACCACTCAGTCCTAGACTCTTCTACTTAGGGCCTATGTGACCTTGGGTAACTCACGTAGCCATCTGGATCAGTTTCTTCCTACCTATGTAAAGTGGGATAATGATAATGGATTAAATAAGATTCTATGCAATGATCTTAGCCTAAATTAATGTCCACTTACCATCTGTCTGGCCTATCTGCTAATAGCAACGTAAGTTGGCATTGTCTGAGTGTTCTCATAGATACTACGATAAAACTTCCAAAAGTTCATGGCAAAATGGAATTAAAAGATATAAATGTTACTATTTCTCAGCTTAAGCTCCAAAAAGTTGATACCAGCCCATTAGTTCATTGCTAAAGAATTAAAGGGAATTTAGCCATGTCAGTGCAGATTTTTTTATATTATTAACAGGAAAAAAATGGATACTCTTTATTTTTTTTACTATTAAGAAACACAAAGAAGTCAGAACGAGCCAGATCTGGACAGTAAGGTAGATACTTAATGTTTCCCCATAGAAACTCTCACAAAATTGCCCCTGTTTGATGAGAAGAATGACAAAGAACATTGTCATAATGCAGATGGACTCTTGCTAAAGCATTGGCTAACTTTCTCAAAGCATTCTCGTAATAAGCAGGTATTATCATTCTTTGGCCCTGGAGAACGTGCGCAAGCAAACTGCCATGAGCATCCCTCAAAAAACTATTGCTGTGACCTTTGCTTTTCATTAGCCTGCTTTTGCTTTACTGGACCACTTCCACCTCTTGGTAGTCATTGTTTTCCTCGTGTTTTGTTTTCAGTATCATACTAGTAAATCCGTGTTTCATCTCCTGTTATAATTCCTCCAAGAAATATGTCAGGGTCTTAATACCACTTGTTTAACATTTCAGTTGACAGCTCTGCTCTTTTCTGGAGCTGATCTGAGCACAAGTTTTGACACCTAGTAAGCAGTTTGCTCAACTTTAATTTTTCAGTCGGAATTGTACAAGCAATACCAGTTGAGATGTCTATGATGTTGATTATTTTTTTCTGTTGTTAATAGTTGGTCTTCTTTAATTAGAACATGGAGAAGATTAATTTTTTTCTTGCAAATTTATGTGGATGGTCTGCCACTGTGGGCTTTATCTTCAACATTGTCATGTCCCTTCTTAAAATGATTTATCTAAAATAATTTTTTAAATGACTTACCTATTTGCAAACTGATGATTTCCTTGGGACATTGCCCCCCCCCCATAAACTTCACAAAGCATCAATGATTTCACCATTCTTTTACCTAAGATCACCATAAATTTGATATTTGTTCTTCCTTCAATTTTAGCAGAATTCACATTGCTCTCATAGGGGTTCTTTTCAAACAAATGTTTTATCCTTCTTAGTTGCTCAAACTACATCCTGTTCAGACATGTCATAACCAGTTATTACACATTTATTTTGGTACCAAAAAAACCCCTTTATGTCCATGCACAGTTTTTTTTAAATAAATGTATTTTCTATGAACTTTTTGAAGACCTTGTATATAGGGAAGGTGTGTTAGTCCGGGTAGACTAGAGAAACAAATTCATAGACACATGTGTATAAGAAAGAACTTTATATTCAAGAGCAATTGAATATTGTGAAACGATCCCAGCCCAGTCCAGATCCTGTCCATAAATCTGATATTAACCCCTATGTCCAATACTAATCCATAAAGTCCTCTTCAGACTCATGAAACACATGCAATGATGCTGAATGCAGGAAGAGTACAGGCCAGTGGGTGGGAAGTCTTGTCAGTAGAGCATCTCCAAGGGCGTGAGCTGAGAGAGAAAATGTCTCCCACCTCCAAGGAGGAAAATACAGAAAATCCCAGAATCCTTAGGGGAAAGCCAGGCCCACACAGAGGCCTCATTGGCTATAACCCAATTGACAGACTAGACTCCACTCCTGCACTCTGAATCCTCTCAAGTCCCAAACTGACACCAGATTAGGTAACTACCACAGAAGGGTTCCCAAAGCAGAGTGTAAGAGAGAAGACCTTAAGAGATAAAGGCTTTGATATAGATCATTCTCAGAACATGGTACCACATGTATGCAAAGGAGACAGAGCTGGCCTTGCATGAATGCAGAGAAGCTCATCCCTTTATTAATACGATTTGAAGAATTACAAGACTGCTTTTCACACGAGCCCTCTCCCCCCCTCCATGCACATCATGGCATCACCCCCATACACTTTACACACTCAGATGCCTTGAATTCTATTTATTGAATTACCATTGAATTAATAATATCAGCTCATGGTGACCTCGTGCATGTCAGAGTAGAGGTGCACTCACACCAGAGGGTGTCCAGTCACTATGATCTTTCATAGATATATTGTCAGGCCTTTCTTTCTAGGCCCTTTTGGGTAGGCTCTAACTGCCAACCTTTTGGCTAGGAAGAACTCTGGAATTCTGCAAAATCCACAGCCGTCAAGTCAATGGTGACTGATAGCAACCCAATATAGGGTTCCCGAAGCGGTAAATCTTTACAGGAGCAGGATAGCCTCGTTTTTCTCCCTCAGAATGGCTGGTAGGTTTGACTCGCTGACCCTGAGGTTAGCAGTCCAATGCTTACCCAACAGCACCACCAGGGCTCCTTGTAATGCTGCTAGTAGAGCATTATTCTTTTCAGGCCTATCATCCTACAGTTCTCTTTGAAACGCACTCCTGGATATAGAAAGATTCAAAAGGATGAGGGTGGAAGGCAGGGCCAGTTCCAAAGGGAACATCATAAACCAAACCTCGCCACTTTGATATGCATACAGCTGACACTCAGACCAGACATCCCCACACGAGAGTCCAGTTGGGTCCAGATTCCAAGGTGCCCCTCCAACCCCACTTTGCTCCCTGCCTCTTCTCATGCAGGATCCGGGCAAAGCCTGTACTTGGTATCTGCCACCCAATTGTGTTGCAAAGACATGGGTCAGAGATGCCAAGGGAGCTCAGCTACAGTCCTGAGCACCAGGGCTCATGTATTGATTCTCTTTCTGGGTTTAGATTACATGCACAGCGCCCACCGCCCTGTCACTGGGGGCCACCTGGGGAAAAAGGAGAGTAGTTATGTGGGCAGCGTGGGCACCAGCCCCAGGAAGTCGAGCCACTGCACGCCCCCGCCTGCCGACTCTGAGCTTGTCAGCTTCTGCTACCTCCACATGCGAGACCAAAGAAAGGAGCAGGAAAGCCGGACGGATGTCAATGAGAACCTAATCTTCTTTGAGGAGACCAGGCCGCGGACCAAGTCGGACCCCACATCCAAAACCTCTGGCCAAGGCTATGATGTGGTCCCTGATGACTTTGATGCAGCCAGCCTAGACCATGAGCCTTGTGCTAGCAGGGCCCGCTCCTATACCTTGGACAATTCCCTTGGGGCTGAAGCCCTAAATTTCTACTGTGACTCTTGCAAAACCAAACTTAAGGAGCAGCTGGGCCCTCGCAAAGGCGGAAGGCCTGGCTCTTCCCGTGACAATATGGTAGACTTGATGTCCCTCCCACCCCCAGGGAGTGAGGAAGAGGAGGAGGAGGAAGATGAGAGCACTTCTCTGTTGCCTGCCATTGCCGCCCCACCCCCTGGTTTCCGAGACAACAGTTCGGATGAGGATGACCCCAAGCGCCGGGCTGTCCAGAACCAGGAACCAGGACGCCACCTGCGTGGGCTCCTGTACGATGATATCCCAGTGACGCTGATTGACAGTGTGCAGACCCGGACAGTCCGAGATCATGCCCAGGAGCTAGATGATGCCTTGGTGTCCACTCTGCAGGCTCTGGAAGCCCTGGCTGCTTCAGAAGATGGACCCCACCCCCCACCCCCGCAGACGGCAGGTAATGGCCCATCCCTCTGCTCCCTTGCCTCCCCTCCTTTCTCATGGCCAGGCAGGGCCAGCAAGTGGCATTGTTTCTTCCCAAGCAGACCTCCAAGTCACCCGTGTATGTCAGGGCAGTGGGTGGGCAGGCCGTAGTTGAGCTAGGGTCAGGGCAGTGGAGTAGCACTGCTATAGTAGCTGCTCAGCTGTAGCTAGAGCTCTGGTTCTCACCATTCCATCTCTTTGCAAGTGCCTTATAGATGGACCCCAGGGATTGGGGCCATGACAGGTACGAGGCCAGGCCAGGATGGGGGATCAGAGAAAAGCTGTGAGAGCTAGAGAAGATGAGCAAGGATCATCCAGTATGCATGTGATTGGAAGAAATCCCAACCAACCAACCATCTCACCACCTAGCGGCCTAGGTGATCAGAGGAGTCACGAGTCCTCACCACTCAGGGCTTGGGGCTCAGGGCTTTATCCTGACTAAGAACATGGACTCTGGGTCAGACGCATCCAAGCCCTGGCTTCTTGACTCACGTGCAGTATCCCCTTCAACACGATACATGCCCCCTTTGCATCTCAGTTGTGTTGTCTTAAATGGGCTTGGTAAATAATAGTCATACCACATAGGGGGAGGGGGCTTCTGTCATGATTAAATCAGATCACTGGTTAGCTGCAGGGATCATGATCCATGACTATTTCACAGGCGACCCATGCACCATGTGTGCTTTTCCTCGTTATAGACATATATGTCCATCTGTTGGACCCACACCCGCATCACACCTGCAACTGTAGTCACGCACATAGACTTCCACACATGTACACTTTAAAGTGAAAAATAAGAGGTCCCTGCACGGCCACCAAAAAGGCATATGGAGGAAGAAGGACTGTGAGAAAGACAAAGAAGGGGCAGAAAGAGAGGGAAAGAGATTGGAGTCCAGGGGTGCCAAGCTAACCAGCGTACCAATTCCGGCCTTTCCTTTGTGTGAGGGTCCTGCTGCCCCATCGGGCACCTGGGCCTCATCCTTGGCATTGGGCATTGCCCCCACATGCTTAGTCCAAGGTCGGATACTTCTCTTTGCTCCAAATTGGAGCACCAAGAACTAGCTGCTCGCAGATTTGAGGCCAAGGTGGCAGCCAGAAAGAGGACAAGCTCAATGCAATGGTTCTCAGCTGCTAGCATGGCAGAAGGCAAGCCTAGCCGGATGAGGAGGGAGCAAGAGAAGGGCCTCCCTTTTGCCAACCCTCTTTAGGGCGATTGACAAAAAATTTCCTGGCTGTTGACTCTAAAAATAGTGTTGATTAGCATGTTATCTGGCGTGCGATTTGCATGTTAATTTGGGATCAAACTGCTCAGATAGTCCCTTTGCCTCTTTTGTTTTCTCTTGCAATTGTAAGTCCTACACAATCCCGCCTCATGGCTTGCCCCTCCACTCCTCCACCCTCAGCCCTGCGAGCCCCTCCTAGGCCATATTGGTTTTTGCACCACCCCCCACCAGCTTGAAACCTCGCTGACTGGCTCACTACCTATCTGTTTTGAAAGAATTTGAGCTCTGTCCGTGTAATCAAGCCCTCTCCCCTTTTCCTCCAGGTCTGATCGTGCTGGCCACAATCACCCCAGAATCGTCACTGGACTCGGGCCACGAAACCAACTCCTCAGAGCTCACAGACATGTCAGAGATGATGTCAGCCATGAAGCAGCACCAGAATGCCACCTACTTCCTGGCCCAGCATCTCAACAAGGACAGTCTCCTGTCCCGCAAGGACCTGCCCTTCCGGATCCAGAGCTGTGCGGCCCAGGCTGTCCTCACAGCCCCTTATTCTCTTGGGCGCCCGGATCCCAACGCACCCTTCCCACCATCTGCCACAAGCCAGAGTCCGGGGCCTCCTGGTGCTCGGCGGAAGCTACCCCAGTCAGAGGCCCAGCCACAGGGCGAGCGAACGTATGCCCTGGCCGTGCACCCAGCACTCTCCCCCCGGCGAAGTGAGCAGCAGAATCTGAGCCTGCTGCCTCCAGTTCCAGAGGACAAAGGGCCCGGTCATATCAGGGCCGGCTTAGAGATGTCACTGAGGGCAGCCACCCCGTCCCTCAGTGAAGAGCAGGTCTCTGAGCTGAGGGAGAACCTTCCCAAGGAGGTCAGGCTAAGCCCCAATCTTATCTTGGACACCAAGGGCAGTGTGACCCCAGCCATCATCTCTGCCGCCCTACAACAGGTGGTTCACAGTAAAAGTCTTGCCACCCCCAGCGGAGCCTTGGGGAACACCCCCAGCCGGGGGGAGAAGAGGCTGGAGGCTGGTGTGGGGAGGCCAGAGGTCAACATGGCAAGCAGCAGTGCCAGTAAGAATCTGAAGTTCAAGATCAGCCCTGGTGATGCAGAGAGTGCGCTCAGTTCCCAACAGCAGAGCGGCTCTTCCAGCCCCAGAGCAATTGTAGGCAGCCGGGCCGAAAGCCTGCAGCTCACCCCACAAGACGACAGGCTGCCAGCTCCAAGTTTCCCTCCCAAGAGCTATCTGTCCAGAGCCAGTCGAGAACCAGTGGGCAAGCAAGCTTCGGGGGAGGGGGCAGGCAAAACTGGGCCTGAGGGTAGTAAGCCAGCCTTGCCCAAGCAAGGCATGGTCTCAAGCCAGGGGGACAAGGGGCAGCTGGAGAATACACTCAAAAGCAGCAAAGTGGAGGAGACCACCTTGATCCCTCGAGCTGGCTACCCCATGGTGCTGCAGAGCCCCAGCGCCCAGCCCCGAGGCCAGAGCCCCAGAGGCTACAGCCCCAGCATCCAGCCACGAGGCCACAGCCCCAGCGTCCAGCCACGAGACCACAGCCCCATTATCCAGCCACGAGGCCACAGCCCCATTGTCCAGTCACGAGGTCACAGCCCCAGTATCCAGCCACGAGGTCACAGCCCCAGTATCCAGCCACGAGGCCACAGCCCCAGCTGCCAGCCCCGAGGCCACAGCCCCAGCTGCCAGCCCCGAGGCCACAGCCCCAGCAGCCAGCCCCAAGGCCACAGCCCACTGAGGCCTCAGGATGACAGCCGACAGGTGAGCACCATGCCCTCGCGGAAACTTGAAAAAACACTAGATGGAGCCCCCTCTGCCTCTGAAGGCCCTGCCAAGCCCAAGTCCTCCCGGGGGCCTTTCCGGCTCCGAAATTTATTTTCTGCCACCTTCCCAACCCGCCAAAAGAAGGAGACAGACGAGCGGCAGGCCCAGCTGCTGAAAGTGAAGCAGTATGAGCTGGAGTTCCTGGAGGAACTTCTCAAGCCCCCCAGCCAGGGGGAGCTACCGGGCACCGAGTACCTGCAACCTCCGGCACCCGGCCGCTGCAGCTGCCAGCTGCGGAGCAGCCCTGTACAGCAGGGTCCTGGCATGTCTAGAGAGCAGAGGCGCAGTTGTGACTGCAAGCGTATCTGCCGTGGTGGCCGACCTCAGGCCACCCAAACCCCAGTGCCCAGCCTCCAGGGTAGGGAGAGGGAGAGGGTCCCCACCCCCCCTACTCAGAGGCAGCCAGAGGCTGGCCCAGGCTTGAGTCTCAGCAGCCCAACCAACATGGGGCGCATCCGCTCCACCAGCCTGGAGTCCCGAGAGTGCCGCTCAGACCCCGAGAGTGGCGTTTCCTGCCTGACCACGTGTGCCTCTGGGGGCGAGTGTCTGGGCGCGCCCAACTACAGGAAACTGATGCGCTGTGCCAGTATTAGTGAGCTGGACCAGGGCGACCGGGCCTCGCTGACCTCAGATGTTTACCCGAACCCACCCCTGGGCATGCTGCCCCGGGAGGTCAAGGAGGTAGAGGCAGGCCTCCCCCTAGCCTTGGGTCCCCAAAGCAAGCCACTGGAATCACCAACTCTGGGAGAACCCTCCTATGTCCAGGTGGCCCCTGCGACCAAAGGCCCCCGGCAGATGGCCGTGTTCTCCCTGCCAGAAGAGGTGTGCCGCAAGCCTGCTGAGCTGGACGAGGACAGCGAGAGCAAGTGCTGCTCCATCCGCTACTGCTTCTACTACCGCAAGTGCGACGCGGCCGACGATGCCAGCGATGGCAAGGATGAGCTCTCCTACTCCATCCCCATGAAGATCCTGCCCGGCATGAAGCTCGATGAGCAAATGGTGCCCGTGGTAAGCAGGACCCTGCAGGTGCTAGATGCAGCCACCTGCAGCAGCAGTAGTCCCGAGGGCACCCACACCCAGGAGATTGACCTGAGGGTATCCACCTTTGAAGGGAGCCTGGCCAAGATCAATGCCCTGCGGGCCCATGCCTATGGGCTGCCCGATGGCTTCCGGGCTGCCCGGCTAGACACCAATGAGCTGCTGACAGTCCTGAGGCAGTGTGTGGCCAGCCCTGAGGCCCGTGCCCCCAAGCCCTATGTCTCCCAGATCTCAGAGTACAAGCTTGAGCTGGCGCTCAAGTTCAAGGAGCTCCGGGCCTCCTGCCGCCGGGTCGCCAATGTGGACAAGAGCCCCACTCACATGCTAGCAGCCATCACAGGCAGCTTCCAGGTGCTGAGCAGCCTCATCGAGACCTTCGTACGGCTCGTGTTCATCGTGCGCTCTGAGGCCCAGCGCCAAGAGCTGCTAGCCAAGGTAGAAGAAGTAGTGAGGAACTACACCTTCCTGCTGCGTGCCGCAGAGGAGTCTACAGCCAGGAACCTTAACCAGCAGCAGCAGCCCCAGCAGCTGCAGCTGCAGCAGCAGGAGCCGCAGCCGCAGCAGAAGCAGCAACAACAGCAACAGGCAGCAGGAGTGGCATTAGGGTCTGCCACAGGGCACCCACCAGGCTCCCCAACCTCAGCGACTGTTATGAGCACATTCACCCGCTCCTTAAAAACCCTTATCAAATAGGGCATCTGCCCAGGCCCCTCCCCCAACCATGGCCCCAGGTTCTGAACTTCCTGGTCCTTGCATCTAGTGGTGATGTGTGTGTGTGTGTGTGTGTGTGTGTGTCCACTGGGCCTCTCAGGGTCCAAGAGCCCTTCAGTCACCAAGGAGTGCCAACTCCCTTGGCTGAGGTGAGCCCCGAGGGCTCCAAGCAGCTGCTGCCCTGGGTGCCCTAACCCCTTCCCCTGGCCTCTGGGTGTCACTGTGAGGGCAAAGGCGCCCTCGTCGCCATGCCCACCGGCAGCGCTGTTTTTCCTCTCTTCCCCGGGGGTGAGAGGTGACATCAGGCTCACTTCCTGCTCCACCCTAAGGACCAGGGGAGGCAGAGCCAGAAGCTGCCTGACCCGCCCGCCCCGAGGGCCTGGCGCTCCTCCTGACATCTGCTCTCCAGTGGAGCGCAGGGCCAGTAGCAGTAGGCCAGGACCACTGGGCAGAGGGGAGAGGGCGCGCCACCTAGATGTGCCCGCCCACCCTGGGCTCACCCTCATCTGGCAGGAGCCACTGCAGAGGGCCTGAGCCCAGGCCCGGGCCCGGGTGGCATGTCTGCTGAAAACAGCTGCACAGGGCTGTCCACAGCCGGCCTCACTGCCGGCAGCCTCGGTATCCCTCGGCCCCAGGTTCAGTAGCTCCACACCAGCCATCCCCAAAGTGCCCTGCCCCTCACTGAGGACGGACAGGGCAGCTCCGTCCGCTAGGGAGTAAGCAGCTGGGATCAGCCCAGTCAGTCTAGTTTAGGTAAAAACCGCCTGCCAGGGGAAGACCCACCGCAGGCCCTGGGGCCCGCACAGTCCAACCTTGGCAGCTCCTCTTAAAATCCCTCTACTAGACAGACTGTCCTTAGGAATTTGACTTAGCTATGGA